GGGTTGACCCGACCTGAAACCGACCCAATTAAATAAACGGGTTTATGCGGGTTGGTTTCGGGTTGGGATTTTCAACCTGAACCCGACCCGTTTAACTTCAGGTTGGGTTCGGGTTGACCCAATTACATAAACGGGTTGAAAATCTCTATCAAAACCCATTTATTTCGGGTTGGGTTCGGGTCGGGTTGTCGGGTCGGGTCAGCTTTTGCCAGCCCTAGATATTAGCCTTCAATTTTGGAATTTTTTTGACTTTTTTCTCCCTGAAATAAAAATTTCTGAATTGTTTAACATGGTCCCTAATACCCTCCGGGAGTCCAATTAGGTGGATAGAACCATCCAATTTGCCTTTAAATTACCAATTTACCGGTATACAACTTGCACCGATTTCATCAACTCAAGCCTACCACGAATATTTATGACAACAAATAATGATCATATATGGTTCCAAACGACATCATATGACCCTGAGATATATTCCCTGGAATTTCGATACCGGGCCCTAAAACCTCCAAAATTTCTCAAAAACCATGGATATTAGCCTTAATTTTTGAAATTTTTAGACTTTCTCGCTCGGAAATAATAATTTCCAGAATATTTACCACGGTCTCTAATACCCTTCGGGAGTCCAATTGGGCGGGTGGAACCATCTAATTTGCCTTCAAACGGCCAATTTACCGATTTACAACTTGCACGGATTTCATTAACTCAAGCCTACCATGAACATTTATGACAACAAAGAATGATCATATATGGTTCCAAACAACATTATTTGACCCCGAAATGTTTCCCTTAGAATTTCAAGACTTTTCGATACCAGGTCTCGAAACCTCCAAAATTTCTCAAAAAGTGTGGATATTGGACTTCAATTTTGGAATTTTTTGACATTTTTTCACCCAGAATTAAAAATTGACGAAATGTTTACCTCGTTCCTTAATAACCTCCGAGAGTCCAATTGGATGGGTGGAACCATCCAATTTGCCTTTAAACGACAAATTTAACGGTTTACAACTTGCATCGATTTCATTAATTTAAGCCTACCATGAACATTTATAGCAACAAATAATGATCATATATGATTCCAAATGACAATATATGGCCCCGAGATATATCCCCTAGAATTTCAAGGCTTTTCGACACCAGGCCTTGAAACCTCCAAAATTTCTCAAAAAGTGTTGATATTAGCCTTCAATTTTGGAATTTTTTTTTACTTTTTTCGCCCGGAAATAAAAATTGCGAATAGTTTACCACGGTCCCAATTACCCTTCGGGAGTCCAATTGGGTGGATGGAACCATCCAATTTGCCTTTAAACGATCAATTTACCGGTATACAACTTGCACCGATTTCATCAACACAAGCCTACCACGAACATTTATGACAACAAATAATGATCATATATGGTTCCAAACGACATTATATGACCCTGAGATATATTCCTTGGAATCTCAATACTTTTCGACACCGAGCCCCGAAACGTCCAAAATTTCTCAAAAAGAGTAGATATTAGCCTTTATTTTTTGAATTTTTAGACATTTTCCCTCAAAAATATTAATTGCTGAAATTTTTACCATGGTTTCTAATACCCTTCGGAAGTCTAATTGGGTGTGTGGAACCATCCAATTTGCCTTTAAACGACATATTTAACGGTTTGTAACTTGCACCAATTTCATTAAATCAAACCTACCACGAACATTTATGACACACATATAATGATCATATATGGTTCCAAATGTCATTATATGACCCCGATATGTAGTTCCTAAAATCTCAAATCTTTTCAACACCGTGCCCCGAAACCTCAAAAATTTCTCAAAAAGCGTTTTTGCCCGGAAATAAAAATTGCCGAAATTTTTACCATGGTCCCTAATACCCTCCGGAAGTCCAATTCTATGGGTTAAACTATCCGATTTGCTTTAAACGGCTAATTTACCGGTTTACAATGCAACTTGCACCGATTTCATTGAATCATGCCCACCACAAACATTTATGACAACATATAATAATCATAATGGCTCCAAACGATATTATATGACCACGAGATGTATCCCATATATTTCAAGACTTTTCAACACCGGTCCCTGAATCCTCCAAAAATTTCTTAAAAAGCGTGGATATTAGCCTTCAATTTTGTAATTTTTGACTTTTTTTTCGCCCGGAAATAAAATTTGCCGAAATATTTACCATAATCCCGAATACTGTTCGGGAGTCCCATTGGGTGGGTGGAACCATCCAATTTGCCTTTAAATGGCAAATTTACTGGTTTACAACTTGCACCGATTTCATTAACTCAAGCTTACCACGAACATTTTATGACAATAAATAATGATCATATATGGTTCCAAACGACATTATATAACCTCGAAACGTGTCCCCTAGAATTTCAAGACTTTTCGACACTGGGCTCCGAAACCTCCAAAATTTCTAAAAAAACATGGATATTAGTCTTCAATTTTGAAAGCTTTTGAGTTTTTTTCGTCCACAAATAAAAATTGACGAAATGTTTACTATGGTCCCTAATATCCTCCAGGAGACCAATTGGGTTGGTGGAACCGTTTAATTTGCCCTTAAACGGACAATTTACCAGTTTACAACTTGCACGGATTTCACTAACTCAAGCATTCTACGAACATTTATGATAACATATAATGATCAAATATAGTTCCAAACGAAATAAAGGGATTGTTCTCTTACGTTGAAATTCAGTTCAGTTCAGTTCAGCTCAGTTCAGTTCAGTTCAGCTCCTAATTTCCGTCTCTTATAAAATATTCATTTCAATTCAGTTCAGTTCAGCTCCAAATTTCCTTCTGTTATAAAATATTCATTTCAGTTCAGTTCAGTTCAATTCAGCTCAATTCAGTTCAGTTAAGTTAAGTTCAGTTCAGTTCAGCTTAGTTCAGTTCAGCTTAGTTCAGTTCAGTTCAGTTAAGTTCAATTCAATTCATTTCAGTTCAGTTCAGCTGAGTTCAGTTAATGATAATAGGCCCTAAATGACCCCAAGATGAATCCCTTAAAATATCAAGACTTTTCTATACTGGGCCCCAAAACCTCCAATTTTTTTCGAAAAACGTGAATATTGGCCTTTAATTTTGGAATTTTTTGCCTTTTTTCGCCTGGAAATAAAAATTACCGAAATGTTTACCATTGTCCCTATTACATTCCGGGAGTCCAATTGGGTGTGTGGAACAATCCAATTTGCTGTTAAACGGCTAAATTCTGTTTACAACTTACACCGATTTCATTAATTCAAGCCTACCACGAACATTTATGACAACAACTAATGATCATATATGGTTCCAAACGACATTATATGACCCCGAGATATATCCCATAGAATTTCAAGACTTTTCGACACCGGGCCCTGAAGCCTCCAAAATTACTCAAAATGTGTGGATATTAGCCTTCGATTTGGAATTTTTTGACTGTTTTTGGGCCGGAAATAAAAATTGTCGAAATGTTTACCATGGTCCTTAATACCCTACGGAATTTCAATTGGGTGTGTGAAACCATCCAATTTGCTGTTAAACGGCCAATTTAACGGTTTACAACTTGCACCGATTTACCGGTTTACAACGGCTAATTAAATTAACTTGCACCAAACTCGACTTGAACCGAAATTGACCCTAACCCGTTTTAATCCATCAAAACCCAAATTTAATCCAACTTGTTACTAACCTGGCCTGAATTCAGCACGACCCGTTCCTAACTCGATTCGAATTTAACCCAACCTATTACAAACCCGACCCGATTTAATCCGACTTGTTATTGACCCGACCCAAATTTTACCAGACCTACCACTTACCCTACCCAAAAATTTAATCCAATCTGTTACTATCCCGACTCAAAATTAACACGACTTGTTATAAACCCGACCTAAATTCAACCCAAAATTTTCATGACCCGATTTCAAATCATCTTAAATGCAATTTAGACCACCTTATAATTTTTGATCAAAGAATTTTGTTTAGGGAGACCAAGTTGGTCCAGGCTAGCAAAAAAAAGGAGCATTATCCTCAAATTTAAGAGTTAAATATAATATATATTTGTTGTATGGTCAAAATAGATAATTATCTTTCTAAATTATAGACTATGGTTCCCTAGTATATTGTCATATATATTATAGTCAAAGGAAATAATTAGCTTGATAAAAATGATAATTATATATTTATACTTAGTTGAACCCGAATATGACCTGACTTGAAAATGACCTGACCTGATTGTAACCTGCAAATTATTGACTTGAACATAATCTGACTTGAATCCGAGAATGATCCGACTTGGAAATGACCCAATATGATTATAACCCGCAAATTATTGACTTGAACCCGAGAATGACCCAATTTGAAAATGACCCGACCTGATTATAATCCACAAATTATTGACTTAAACCGAACCCGACTCAAACCCGAGAATGACCCGACCTGATTCTAACTCGCAAATTATTGACTTGAACCGAACTCGACTCGAACCCGAGAATTACCCTTACCCGTTTTAACCTGTGAAAACCCGAATTAAACCCGACCTATTGTTCACCTGACCCAAATGTAACCCGACCTGTTATTAACCCGACCTAAACCCGACCCAAACCCGATAAGAAGTATGACCCGACGTGACCCGACTCAAGCATGACCCAACCCAAACCCGACCCGCATAGGTTATGGAATTAATCCGAATTGATCTGACCCGAGTTGACCCGACCCACCCTTACCCAACCCAAACCCGACCCTTTTACCCGAATTGACAACTCTACTTGATGTTTACAACCAAATAGATAAGGTAACTTTGACCCGACAAAATTAATTGCAATTGGAACTTGGAATACAAAATTTTTTTATTATAAAACTTAGAAAGGGTTAGGCTAGAGATTAGGCTCATGTTCCATCTCATGTTGTCAAACTTTAGAGAATGAATATTTCTGTATGTTGTATTAGCTTATGCACAAAGTATATATATATACACCCTAAGAAAAGAGATTAGGCCTTATAAACATAAACCGGCCCATTAACTAAATACAATACTAAGTACAATATTAGGCCTTAACACATGTCTTCGGATGTAACTTTGATGATAAGCACAATTGATGAACTGATTTGGGCTAGCTAATTGGCAGCTAGGTTTGTAATTAAGGACAATTAAAAGCTTAAAATTGGAGATTAGGTTATGATTTATAGAAATTCCCATATAAACTGTATATTGTGATAGTGATAGAGCTAGGAAAAAAAAAAAAAAAACTAGGATTAGGAAGCAATCTCACAACCTTACTGATTGAACCTTGTTAGGTAAATGATCCGCACTTAAATAACAAAAAATAAATAGGCTTAACATAATACACAACACAGTAGCTCAACAGCCTAAAAGGCTAAAAGATCAAAGATACAACCAAGTAACAAAGAGTTGGTTCGCATCAAAAGTTGGGTAATCACAGGGACTTAAGCCCATTTTTAAATATGTTATAAGGAAAGCCCACTTCTGCAAATGCCCCAAGTAAAACATGTTTGGTTTGAAGTTGCTTTTGATACATCATACATACATGCCCCAAGTATTTTGCCCAACAAAAGGTCTTTGCTTATACAAAGCCAACAAAAATCAAGCTAATTCATGTAGTGCATTTTTCAATTCTACTTTATGTCAATCTTACAAAATAAATTGTCAAAGACCACGCTAAAAAAAACCTAAGAATCATATCAAAGAATCAACTTAACCAAAAGTCGAAAACAACTTGCAAAGGTATTAACAATCATTTTCACCATTGCTGCGGTACATTACAAGGCTACAACTCTTTCTACTTTATTCGTTCCTTTAATAATGTAAAGTTGCACAGTTAGAAATATGTCGTTAATGACATGTAGAACATGTGGATCATCCGGTTATTTGTTCCAAATGACTATATTGGCTCTATGTTCTTGAAAAAAGTTTGGACAAAATAAAATAAAAAAAAGCCTAATAGTAATATACACACTGAACAGATAGCTTAGCTAATAAAGACCAGGGTATTAATATATATAACAAGTTTTAAGCTAACAATCTACATTAATTTATCACGAGTACAAATTACAAAAGATAGCTTGAATATCCGATAAAGGAACAATTAAGTTACCCCCTACAAATTAGAAAAAAAAGTCACCCTGTCTCACAAAATGAAATACTAGTATTATAACACAATCTCATGCGAAATTAGAGTTTATAAATCTTCTAAATTTCAAGTTCTGCTATTGCCTTTTCTAATTCCTTATCAATAGGGACATTATAGCCAAAAATCATAGAATAATCATCTATTTCGTCCGATGAACTCTTTTGAACACCCCATATCCGAGCAATTTCAGAGTTTTGGCCTTCTGATAACAACTCCAACACCTACACACGTACACAAAATAACCAAATTAAGATTTGACGGGAGAAGAAAATAAAGCATGTTTGCTAAGAGTATTTTTAAGGATTCATTAAAACTATTATTGTTACCGAGTGTTTGGTTAGAAGGCTTGGGTAACAATTACCATTACATAAGGGTAATGGTTTCCACCTATTTGCTACCTATCTAAAAGCCAAGCTAAGGTAACAAATACCTTTAACTTTATCGATCAAACAAAAAATAATGAGAGTTGGGTTTAGGTGATTACTTTTCTTGTTTAAACCAAACAAATAAAAAAAGGTAACGTTGCAATTTTTATACCAAGTGCCCCCTTAATGTATTGTAGCTTAATTTACCTCATTCATTGAGGGACGCCATGTAGAGGAATGTCTCACACAACAAGAAGCTGTAAGTAGAATTTTGTGTAATTGGTCTTGGTCATATTCACCCTCTAATCTTGTGTCAACTAGCTCTGAGATTTTCCCATTCTCCATTAATGGCATAGCCTAGAAGAGAGACACAAACATATATAAGGTAAAACAAGTTTAATTTGGGTTTAACAAATCAACAAACATATTTGATATAAACCCGCAATACCAAATGCTCTAACAAATTAAATCCATTGCTTAGTGTTATTCAATTATGCTTAATTAAATAATATAATTACCCATAATAGAAGACTTTGTGTGGAAGAATCAATAGGTCTTCGACCGGTGATAATCTCAAGAAGAAGAATGCCAAATGCAAAAACATCGGTCTTTTCATCCACAATTCCATGCAAAAAATATTCTGGTGCTAAGTATCCAAATGTGCCTTCTATTGGCAAAAATGCATTTTGATAACTTGACTTATTGCTTGGGACCCACTTTGCTAGTCCAAAATCTGTAATCTACATCACCCAAAGTTTATAAATTTAGACATGATTATATTGTACCAAGTATTTATTATTAAACTTTGCTTGATAAACAATTTAAATTGTGGTTGGTAATATAATCTTACTTGTGGTTCATAATCTGGTCCAAGAAGGACGTTGGAAGCTTTGATATCACGATGTATGATACGATGTTTGCAACACTTGTGCAAGTAATGGAGTCCTTTTGCTATACCTATTGCTATTTTGTACCGCACTGCCCATTCTAATGACTTTCTTTCGTCATCTGGCAAAAAAAATAAAGGCAAACTTTTATAAAATGTATAAAAATAGTTGTCACATTTCTTAGTAAAGTCGAAATAATGCAAATATCTTCGAATTTTCAAATATGTTATCCCTCTAATAACTATATATACATTAGTTAAATCATGGTTGTATCCTAATTATAATGAGTTTTAACAACATGATATACAGTTGAAGAGTTGAAATTACCGTGAAGGGCATCAAAGAGGTTGCCATTAGAGGAGAAAGGGAAAATGAGATAGAGACCATTTTCAATACAGTAACCAATTAATGAAGCCGTGTTCGGATGAGAAACTTGAGTAATAATACCCAATTCAATAAGAAATTCCTTCTCTTTGTGTGGATTAGTGTTGTCTTTGGCTAATCTTTTAATTGCTATGCTCTTTCCATCTTGCATATCTCCTCTATATACCTCCGAATATCCACCTTGTCCTATCATGTTATCTGCATCATTTTTTATGACTCAAGATTATAAACTATTTAAACTTTAGTAAACATAGAACATATGTAAATACAAATTTATAATAATGTCGGATAGTTTTCAATAAAATATGGATCTAATATACGTAGTAATTTTTCTCGTAGCATGCATGCATCTTAAGTAGTCCAATATGGAGTATAAATTAAAGGTGTTTTTTCATGAAAAATTGTCACTATTATTAAGATAATTCTTTAATTCAATACTATAAAGAAACCTACTTTGTATTAAATAAACAATACATAGTAATTTAATGTGAAATCGATTTAGACGTTAATTTAACCCTATTTCCTTAGATCCATTATTCTTAATTTTAGCGTTAATTGTTGGGATACAGGCAAAATTAAAATACCGATTATCATAAATTTTATTTTGTACTCGTAAATTGTAATGATGCAAGAAAGAGAAAGAGGGTAAGAAGGTTTGAGAAAATCCCGAATTTCTGTCATTTCTTGCAACACACACTACTTGTCAACTTGATGTTATTATTGTTTTTAAACAACCCTTGTTTATGATACTCTCAAATGGACATAAGATTGCATCCAATATACTAGAATGACCAAAATTTAATCCCTAATTAAATTCATCGGTTTGTGATGTATGCAACTTTAATGGAAATCTATAAACTATGTATAAACAACTACAGTACTTCGTTTGTTATAAATTGATATTAACTAAAGAATTTATGACAAAATTATGTGTTGATTGATGTTAACTATTTTTTGTTTGTAATGCTTGTTCTTTATACTTTTAGTGTCTTATGCAATTTTTTTATAAGGAATAAATAAATAAATAAATAAATAAATAAGGGTTCGTTTGGCATCACTGTGAGTTTCTATTTTTTGGTTTTTTGTTTTCAAAATCATATGATACATGTCATATAATGAATTAAAAATTAGCTAATTTTATTAAAATCATAATAACTTTGAAAACCGACAGAAAAGTGAAAACACATTTTCCTTGTTTCCTATGTTTGGTTTTTTGTTTTTTTTTTAAACAAAAAACGATGCCTTAAAGGTTTTTGTTAGTTAATTATGGCATAATTTAGAGGCCGTAGTGGTAGATTAAGACATTAATTGAACTTTTGCTAAAGTGTACAGGTAGATTTCTGTTTTTTTAATATATTGGTCAATGTTTATAGATGTCGGTAACATATCAAATTAATGTACCATGAAAAAAGAATGCATCACGTCTAAATCGATCTATTTTTGTCATTGTAATGATGCATTATTTATTTAAGGTACAATAGGAGAATTAGAAGACCCTTAAACATCTCAAATGATGAAGACATTCTTGCCAATGATAAATGTGCTTCTTTGATACTACTTTGAAAGGTACGTACGACGTTGCATATATTTTGTGCATTGCCACTATTAGTTAGTGTGAGTGTGTGACATGCATTTGTGTTTTATAAAAATCGATAATTCTTAGAGAACATGATACAATTATGTGTCATAAATTATATCAGATGGTACAAAATCACCACATTAATTTTTATAGAAAAAATACGTATTACTTTATTATTTACTCCATAAGAGATAGTAATCCTAATCATATATAAAGTAATAATTATTTCGACTAGTTAAGCCAAACATAAGAAAATAAATAACAGAAAAATTGAAACGAAAAATAATTGCTTAAGAAGAGAAAAAGCTAAAAATTGATCTATCATTTAAAATTAATTACCTGGATGAAAATCTTTGGTAGCTTGTGAGATCTCATCATAACTAAAGTATTTTAAAGAAGGTTTTGGGAGCTTTTCTACTCCACCAACACCAATGCTACATTTCTCATTATTTCTTCTCCTTCCACTTGACGTGTTCTTCAAGAAAAATGACGCTACACGTCTCAAAGGCGACTCCTTAAACTTGGTCGTTGTTGTTGTTGTCGTCGTTGTTGTTTTTGTTTTTACTATTGTTGTTGTCGTTGTTGTTGATGTTGGTGGTGATACAGGTAAAGATGATTCGGAGTTGCTACTCGAATCATCAAAACTAGAGTTATCATCTTCGGTACTAGGAGCACTTTCCCCTTCAACACCATTCAAAACTGTCCTAGGAGACTTCTCTTCTAATGTACCTTCCTTTAAGATTGATGATGAATCCAATGTTGCTTCTTTTTCTAGTTGCCCAATTGTGATAATTGAGCAACCTTTTGGGGCATATTTCATGCAATGCTTTGAAATTTCCCCTGTTGTTCTATTCGTCATGTAGATTCCAAAAAAAACATCAGTAACTTACATGAAATAGTAATTAAATTGATATCATATGATATTATGATTGATAATTCTATCATGAGTAACGTATCATATTGTATATGAACTTCTAATAAAAAAAGTACATAACAACATTTACAAAATTACTTGTTTGTTATACATTATTTCTCACGTCTCCCAAAGAACCTAGATAACTAAAAAAAGTCCGCATAATTGAAAATTTTGAAATCCAATCAAATAAAAGTATTATGTTAATATGTCTACCTTTTTGGTTCAAGCTTTGATCCTTTTAGAACTAGAAATTCCGCGGTTGTTCTCTTAGCCTCGTCGATTAAACCACTCCCTATACTCGAGCTATATACAACTCTAGCCTCCAAGTACACCTACAATATATCATTCAACACGATATAATCAAACATGGGAAAAAGAAACACATATATGTATAGAACAATAATGTATGGAACAATAATAAAGCCATATAATTAATATTGGATGATTTTAAGCAATTGGCAAAGTATATAGATAGGTACCTGTTTACACTGGCAAGTCTCGGCAAACTCTCCCATGACAGAAAGAACAAAAGATTTAGCTCGGCGAAATCGTCTATAATCTCTTGATTTAGGCACAAGTTTCTTAGGCTCCTTTCCTACTGTTACATATATACCACACATTTCATTATAACAAGCTAAGAGATCAATATAAACTAAGGAAATTAAACAATATCACATTCAACTACTCCATAGTAACAAGATAAGATATCAAAATTTGCACGATCACCAAATAAATTGTAAGAAATATACTTATAATTAAACTTAACATAATTTTTTTTTTTTTTTTTTTTGACAAAACTTAACATAATTAATCTAATATATATATAAAAAAAAAATATGACAAACCTATAACATGTAGTGCTATAATGGTGTCGTTGGGATGAGAAAGAATGTTGATAGCCCAAGAAAGAAGATCTTTTGCATCATCAAATTCTAATGAAGTTGCAACTATTACTGTTGCTGGAGCTGTTGAACAAGGGATCATCACAATATAATAATAATAATAATAATAGTAGTAATGGAATTAAAGGGTGTTTAATAAAATTTGTTACTTTGATTTCTTTTTTAAATTAACTTGGATTAAAATTATGAGAAGTACACGAGTGGAAAAAGAATGAAGTTTGAAATTTTATTTATGTGCATGAAAAAAGAGTAGATTAGGTATAGTGGGGAGGAGTGAGACCACCACCTTATTTGCTTGCCTCACTTACTAGTCATTCTTCTCATACAAGCATGTTTTTTTTTTTTTTTTTTAATAAAAATAAAAAAAACTTACTCAATTGATTTCTAAGAATGAATAACTAACAAAAAGGGTTATAACCACTTTTAATGATGATAATCATGTTTGATATAAATGACTAGTTTTGGAAGTTTGAATATAGAAGGAAATTGAGTTGTACTTCATGTACAATCATTTGTCTTTCAAGACTCAAGTAATTGGATTGAAAGTATTATTGTTTGTGTTAAATTTTTTTCCCTTTAATATCATTATAGATTTTTTACACTTTAAGAGACATCATATATGTGTTGATCATAAAAATGAATAAGGATGTATCTTACCTTAATGAAAAAATAGATAATTTAGATCAATAGTTGTATGTACTTTGTCCGCGCAGAAATGTATGCCATATTACATATTATGTCGAGTTGTTTCAGAGAATTGATAATTCAATTTGTAATTGGTTGAAAAAATGTTAAATAATTAAAAGCTAAAAATGCATATAAATGATTTTAGAACAAACTAATTAGAAAAGTTCGAACTTTATATAGGTATAAATTGGTTTCATTCAACAACTACAAAGGTTTCCTAGTAAAAAAAACGCATCCATTTAAACAAAATAACAAGTTACACCGTTCATGTTATAAAAATTTGTAATGCATATTATTGTAGCACAAAATAAAATGAGAAGTTCAACAACATGCAATATTGTCCTATATTATGATCCCTACCAAAATTTTCTATAAGGTGTAAACTTCATAAATCTAATAGTCGTAAATCTAAAAGATAATATAATTGGCTAGCTAATAAAATATGATCAATTTATATATTTTTTTGGGAGAATGGTTAAGTGTTACAGGTAGGGTGCTTTAAGGGGTAAGCAAAGGTGGTGGGATTACAGTGCAATTGCAATTTTATTATTTGATTATTTTTTCTTGCTATGAAAGCGATAAAATTGAGAAAAGCCTCATCTCTTACTGGCTACAAATTAAATGTTTGTAATTTTACTATTCTTTTCTAGGGTTTGGTAGAAGAAGAGCAGATTGATAATGTGGCACTAAAAAAATTAAAAAAAAAAAAAGAAAGAAAGAAAATAAACTTTTTAATTTTTTTAATGAATGAACAGTTGGAATAGGATGTAACTGACGCATATGATGAAGACTTTAGTTAATTAGTTAGATTGAGAGATAAATTAAATAAAGAAGGAAGAAATAAAAGGGTGATTTATTTTAGTATGATAAAGTAAATGATTGCTCTTGGAAATTGTTTGTCTTAGACTACATGTTAAGTGTTGCACCAACACATCATCATTGTTGTTCTTGTTATTATAATTATTATCATCTATAGATTGCTATTGTTAGTATACAGATCCATTTGCCAAATTTTCATATTGGATTCTCTAAGTATTGATATTTTCACTTTTTCTAAGGGCCTGATCGATAAGAGAGGTATGATTTGTAAGCATTCCACCCATTAAGGGCATTTTTGTAATTTATGAAGATGATGAATTACGGGAGGTCTACGTTGAAGAATGTAATAGTGTGATTAGGCTTTCACCTTATTCCAATTGTACTTAACATTAATGCATACGTACTCAAATTATCATGTAGTCATGTACTGGCAGTGGCGTATCCAGCATTTCTGAACTGTGGGTTCGAAATCTTAAAAAAAAAACGATGATCATATATTGATTAAAAATTCAATACATAAATTCAATTTTTTATTACAAATGGATGGATTACACAATAAAAAAAAAAAACTTCTCGTTAATCATCAATTATAATCATAGTAACAAAAGCTCTACAATCTACAATAATACACAAAATACACAATTAATTATCAATTAAAATCACAAGTCCCCAATAAACACAAATTTGACAATATAAACTTCTTCTAATTATCAAATTTCAATTAACAGAACAAGTAAAAATTTATAATTCTAAGTTTCTAACTTCTAACTTTCTACAATTCAATTTCTCAACAATTCAACAATATATCAAAACCATAAACCAATTTAAAAAATAAAACAAGCAAACCAAGATTAAGAATTAATAGGAGTAGACTAGTAGAGGAATAAGAGATTAAGAGGACTCACAATTGTAGAACTAGAAGAACTTGAAATCTGAACTCAGAAGAGTAGAAGACAGAACAGTCGTGAGTCGTCCCTCGTCCACTCGTCCGTGTCTCCGTGTGGACGTGAGGTGGTCGCCGGTCGGTGTCTCGGTGTGCGGTGCCGCGGCGGCTAGTGGCTACTGGCTAGGGTCATAGGGTGTCAAGCAAGGTTAGGGTTTTGGTGTTTGGGAATTTGGGGAAAAATGTCTGATGTTTGATTTTTGAAATATGAAATATTGAAATGTGAATGTAAGGAGTAAAAAAAAAGTACAAAAAAAAGAGGGCAGTAGGAGTCGAACCTAAGACCTAATATATTAAAGGGGCGCGCTGCTCTTTTATTCAGAGAATTACCAATGCACCAAACTTACCCGTGTGATAATTATTCTCACAAAAATTTCTTTTAAACCTTTTTTTTTTAAAAAAAAATTAAAATTTATAATTTTTTTCCAAAAAATTTGTGGGTTCAATGAACCCCCTTGAATCCCCCCTAGATCCGCCCCTGTGTACTGGTGTTGAGCTAAACTAATAACGACTTATGGGTCAAATCTAGTCCAAAATTTTCCATACTAAAATGTTGGTACCTTTTATAAATAAAACTAAATTGTTAGGAGCTTCTCTGGCAGCAATATGCACAATCTAGGTTTTTAAGTGGAAAGCAATAAAAACATAAAATATCTTACGGCCATTTCACTAAATCCCACTAAATACTTACAAAATTCACCAAATGCCATCAAGGTTTTCAAAATTCACCAAATGCCACTGACAAACCATACAATGACACTTCATGCCACTAATAGCATATGAACGTTAGTTTTCCGTTAATGCAATTATGTTTTCACCCAATGTCATTACTTTGAAAAATTATTTCACCAAATACCATTACTTTTTAAAATTAATACACAATAATTATTTATTTTAATGAATAAAATTAATACTTTTTTCAATTTTCGTGACGAATATTGTTCGGGTAAGGTTTTGGTGGTCATTTGGATCTTTTATGGGTACAAATTAAACTCGAAATCGGCAAAAAAAATGACGTAAATACCCCGTTTTGCATTTTGTTCCCGAAAAAATTATGATCTCGACATACAAAATGGGGCATATATGTTTTTTTTTTTTTTTATCAATTCCGAGCTTAAATTGAACTCATAAAGGATCTAAAGACCCCCTAAACCTTACCCAATCAATCATGGTTGAAAAAATAATGACACCCTAATCGAAATATTTTTTAACACGTACAACGGAGCATCTACTTTTTTTTTTTGTCAATTCTGAGCTTAATTTGTACCCATAAAGAACAACAATGACCCCCAAAACCTTACCCGGTCAATTTGATGGTTAAAAAATAATGACACGCTAATCGAAATATTTTTCAGAACACAAAACAGAGCATTTACGTTATTTTTTTGTCAATTCCGAGCTTAATTTGTAACCATAAAGGATCAAAATGACCCCTCAAACTATACCCGAGCAATTTTTGCCACGAAAATCAAGAAAAAAGTATTATTTTTATCAATCAAAATAAATAATTAAAATGAACCAATCTTATCATGACACGTGTCATGATTTAATCTTAATGACAAACGGAGTTAACGGCCGTTAGTCATTAATGACATTTGGTGAATTTTTTAAAATTTTGATGACATTTGGTGAATTTTGAAAACCTTGATGGCATTTGGTAAATTTTGTAAGTATTTAGTGACATTTGGTGAAATAGTCGAATATCTTATTTACGAAGTAATTTTCAATACAATAGAATACTGGAATGATAATTGACATTGGGCTGGGTCAGAAAGCCCATGATATGCCTCATCTATCATATAAATGTCCAGACCTGGCCCAACTAGATCAGTCCATTTTTATATTTAATGGTTTTAAATTCCACTTGTTCTACTACATCTTTTAACATATTTAGCGTTACTTGTTTCGGGCCAATAATTTTGGCACCCTTGTATAGAATATCTCAAAGTTGAATTTTGAAATAGAGAATGCATCAACCTAATCGTATTTGGTGTAGTTGATATGGAGTCGTTTAGCAGCTCTTATAAGAGCTATAATTTGAAGGTCGCTTAATTCAAGAATGTAAATTAAAGCTCATTGCATTAAGTTATATTAAGTTTGGTTAGGTCAACTTCATAGTCAATGGAAGTTTCAAACTCTAGTTGAAGACATCAATCGTCTTTTGGCTTTCTACAAGCGTTTACAAAATGTCTATGGTGAATTTAATAGGGTTATTACATGCTTTCTCGTACTCCAAATCTATCTCGTATTCAAGTATCCCATTTTTCAGTTTAAGTTATAATATTCTGTATATAAATTAAAATATTGTCTCAAAGTCAACCCTTTTTTCTTAAACTATTATCATGTAGTCAGACTGTCTTACGTCTAGGCTCATAATCTCTTGGTGAAGAAAACCATACAAGTAACTATGAAAGCAATTGAAATCACTTTGCTCTTGTTAAATTTACTTGGTATTTTCCATTGTTCTTGTAATTTCATTGTGTTGAGATTGAGCTTCTCGAGATCTGAATGTCGAAATGTTCAATAATACTCATCCAACATGCTGACAGCCTACATGCAATATACTTGGGCTCTACAATCTTACGTACCTTATCCGCTTATCACATGTAGTTCCTCTTTGATGTGCATTATTTTGTCCAAATCATTAATTCCAAACCATTTACTACCTGAAATCAAAACAATTATTGGGTATAGAATGAAATTAATGACAAACTGGCCATTGGAATTGAAAATCGATTTGACATTATAATTTATTCAATGGTTTAGAAGAAACTCGAGATTGAAATTCATCGATAGATCTCCGCCTTGTTCTTTTAGTTCGGCCTAACCATGTGGCCCAATTTAAAATTCCATAGAAAAAAGTAACATGAATAATGTTTGAACATTTTCGGAATATCATAATAATTACTCAATCTGTAAGTATGACATTTGACTTAAAGATGTTTATTAAGTTAGCCTTAGATTTTTAATGTATATTAGATCAAAATATCTACCGATGGAGCATGATCAAGCTAATGATAAGTCTTCGAAAGATATGGATATACATAATCCATCATATTAATGTTCACGACTTATAGAAGAGAGTGTTATGATTTTACAAGTCGTTTTATGATTAGGTTGTTTTCAATCAATGATATTTTTTGTTTCAAATCCTTGATTTCTAGCGCATTCTAATGAGATTTTTATCACAGAAAAAATATAGTCTTATTCTTAGATAAATAGTAAAAAATTGTGGGGGCAATAGTCATGAGATGGACTCCATCAACTTTTTAAAAATTCAATCAAGAACAAAACAAAACATGTACTTGTATAATTTGTGCATGATCAATATATGTATAAAATGGTCATTTACAACCTAATCATGTAGTACAATAGTACAAAACTATGCTTCCAAAAAAAAAAAAAAAAAAAAAAAAAAAAAAAAGTGAGTGGGCTCATAAACATACGTACGTACTTGGGTTATTTTGCAAAGGTATGGAATATATTTAGCTGTATTTAAACTTTATCGTGCATACAAATAAAAATAAATGGACCTATCTATGTATAGTTTTCAATCTTTTACCTTTTTAAAATAAATGGAAAGCTACAATTGCTTAATCCCTTAACTTTATCTATTCAATTTCTTCCTAATTTCTCTCACCTCTTTTTGTTTTGATATACTTTAGTTTGATTACACTATTTACATTTTTGTATTGTCTAGTGAGCATGATGTGACGAATATAGTGTTAGACCGTAAATATATGTGTATTATTGATATATATTTGCTTGTTCCACTACGTACTTATTTTTTCATGGAAAATCATTGACTTCTTATATTTTGGGCACTACAACTAAAATCATTCTAGGAGATGGGTTTTTATCATATGTCCGCTTCAATTGAAAGTATTGAGAAAAGTGTGATTTATATAAAAAAAAAAAGACATTTTTGTTATGAGTTAATACATACGAGTACTTCATATGGTATAAGGTTTTTCTGCGAGATAAATGTATGTTTATCTTTGGGGTATTTTTGTCATTTTCGATTTTAGTATGTGAGTAGAGTTGTAATTTACCATATTTCTTGGTTTTATAAGTTAACAAAGTTTCTTAATATAATGTTATTTAGCTTCAATTTAATGGAGAATTTGAAGCTCACTTTTTAATGAAAAATACAATACTCATGCATGAGCATCTTCAATGGAGGAAGACGACATAAAAAACCCTATCATTTGGGGGTTAATAATCACAATGGAAAACTGATTGTTAATCGATCATTGAAATTCATTGTGTAAAATGATTATACTTGGTTATTTTCACCTTATAATTTGTTTCTTTTGAAAAATTAAATCCAATAAATTCAACATAACATTAGATAATCTAAGGGTCTGTTCACATGCATTTACTTAATTTCATTTCAATTCAGTTCAGTTCAGCTCCAATCAGTTCAGTTCAACTCAGCTCCTAATTTCCCTCTCCCGATCATAAAATATTCATTTCAGCTCAGTTCAATTCAGCTCCAATCAGTTCAGCTCAGCCCAATCAGTTTCGTTCAGTTCAGTTCAGCTCAGTTCAGTAAATGTGAACAGATTCTAAGACTATATTCTCCACAATTATTTATAACAGTACATTTTAATAATTTGTAATAATTTTTTATTTAATACGGAGTGTGAATTATTTAACCTGTCAGGCCACAACATTTAAATTTCTATTGCAATAATAGCCTATGGATCCCATGATAACGCACTTTCTTTCTTTGCTCTTAATTTATTACTCGTATTTTAATTTTTGAGTTATTGTTCCATATTATCCATCAACAACATAATGATTCCAAACTTCTAAAAGATATCAAAGATGAAGTCACGCCAAGAATCCAACAATGCCATCGTCAATATAATAACTATGATTCTTTATCATGTTCTTAATTATCTATTCAATCAATTACAAATAATAATAATAATTTCAATTAAGGTGGCCTAACTAACGCCTAAGTGTGTATGATTCCTTAATCTAAAGTGCTACGTACACTTTCTTTCATGTAAATAAGGTGTGGAATTTTCAGGTGTTTTTTGTGATTTTTTATGTGAAATTAAATATACTCGTTTCTCATGTAATTATGTAGGTACTTTATTTGGGACTAGGGGTGTTCAAAAATTGATCCGGATCGAAATAAAAGGACTGAACCGTGGACCCAAATTAATCGGTTTGGTCTCCGAATCGAGATATTTATTTTTTCGGTCCGGTCTTGGACCGATGAACAAGCTTATGTGAGACACCGAATAAACAATATAATCACCAAGAGATCGATTAACTCTATTCTCTTATTTTCTTCATTATTATTACGATCAATTTGTTATATTTCTCGAGAAAACACGAAATTAATTGTAAATCGTGTATCTTTTCTTTTTTTTTTTTTTTTTTTTTTTTAATAAAAAGGCTGTCACTATTCCTTATTATTCTTAATGCATAAAGGTTTGGCTAAAATATTTGAATTTCAGTTGTTGATTTTGCTTTTCTGTTACGAGTGGAACAAAGACCAGCCTTTAATTAGCTATGTAAAATTTTAGTGATCGAACCAGGCATAACTATACTAACTTTATAAAAGTGTGTGGTTTTATTAAGAAAATTTTAATGTAAATGCTTATTACCACATTTGATATCAAGTTCAAGTTTAATGTACTCAATAACTTCTGGAGCATTAATAGATAATGTTAACATTGAATTGAAGAAAAAGTACATTTTATAGCGAGGACGTACAAGTATTACTCTTGAAATTGACATAAACAAATTGCAAAGTACTAGTAGTATATCCTTATGAACTACATATGAAATAATTTACTTTTTAAAGAAAAATATCTATTACTAAAATTAAAGCTAGAAAAAATCAGTCATGCAAGTTGAATGATGAATTAATTAAAGTAGAATATCCTAGTGTTGTTTATGACAAAATGCTAAAAAAGATAAGGTAAAGTTGGAAAAATCACCTTTCTTTGTATATATACTAATATTAGTCGTTAGTTTTTTGTTGATTTGTTTAATTAGTGGGATGACATATAAAAGCACTATAAACGTCCTTTAGCCAATGATTGTATTTTGATAACATTATTAGGCCTTAATTTAATTTAATGGATTGTTACTCATATTAGGGATAGGAACAATTGGAAGATAGTGATTAATTACCTGCTAATCTAACTAACTTCATTATATATGGGCCTTTCTGTAAATGTAATAATTTAATACTTTATAGTAAGTCATATTTTTATTTGTTGGTTGATCAATTAGGGGAAAATTCTTAAAGCAATTATACTTATTCGACATATAAGACAAATTAAGCTAACAAGTTAATGTAACAAACTATAGTTTATATCGAATTGGGTATGATTTCATGGAATGCTTCTTAACTTTATGAGTTGAGAAAATTGATTGACTCAAAGCTATTGCAATATCATCTAATTTCTATCCCACACTCAAGTTGTATATTACGACCCCTAATTATACATTTTCCGCACGAGTGCAGATCGATGTGCCTTCAGCAGTACAGTGTATGACTGTAAAATGGACACAACGCAAAACTTGTATATGCTAAAAGACAAAATAATAAGATATCAACTACAAAGTACAATAGTTCAGTTATATATATAATTAGGGCATGTTCATTTCAACTTAATTTCACTTCAGTTCAATTTAGCTTCAATTATTTCAGATCAGCTCCAATCAGTTCAGTTCAGCTCCTAATTTCCTTCTCTCATAAAATATTCATTAAGTTGAAGGAAATTAGGGCATGTTCATTTCATCGCAATGTGTATATAATTAGGGCATGTTCATTTCAACTTAATTTCAGTTCAGTTCAATTTAGCTTCAATTATTTCAGATCAACTCCAATCAGTTCAGTTCAGCTCCTAATTTCCTTCTCTCATAAAATATTCATTTCAGCTCTATTCAACTTCAATCAGTTTAGTTTAATTCAATTCAATAAATGTAAATCAGGCCTTAGTGTACAATTTTATTTTTAAATTTTAATTGTACTTGTTTTTAAGTAGAAAAATAATAGTTCGTATTTTGTTGGTAGAGAATGTAAATACATTATTTAAGGTAGGCTCACATCTCTAGGGTGGCGGATACTTGATACCCGGTGATGAGAATACGCAACAAGTGAAGTGCAAGGCAGTCTCGGCTCGCCGCAGAAAACATTGGAACTTTCAACGCCTTAACAACAACAATCTTCCTCATTTTATTTTTTATTACTTGTGCAAGAATTAAAAATAATTTTCTAAGTTGATATAAATTTAATTTTAAGACTAAACTATTTTTCCAAATTAAAGATTTTTTTTATAAGCTTCTTATATATAGCATTTTCCTATTTTTATCTAAATTTTTTTTTGAGTTTCTTCTCTTTGATTACTTGTAATTATTTTCATGTGTGTCATAAGGATCTTACCATTCCATCTATTACTATTGTACATCATTCACATTTATTCTAAATCTAAACACATAAAAGTTATTATGATTTTTTAGTTTCAACAAAATTTGTCTCATTTCGTAACCAACCCAACTGATCGTAATATCCGGCAGACATTAAAAGAAAAACGAACAAAGCATGCTTAACTTTTGCACAATTTCATGAAATCTCTCTTTTTCACTTCAACCTCTATATAGCAATTAGCAATTTGCAACCACTTTAACAACACAAAACCGAAAAAGTTACCTATGTTCCTAAAATACTTTAATAAATGATCAAATCTAATCGCTATCTATCTCTATCATCAGCAACTAAAACGAAAAGAAAAAACTCCCTCCATCTGATTAACCTGTTACATAACTCTTAATTCCAGTCGAAAAAATAACCAAAAAAAAAAAAAAAAGAGTTACCTACCTATAAACCTTTGTACTTATGTACCTAATCCTCTCATTCCAAACCTAATTGCCTTTACTAATACCACCATATAATTTCTTTTTCTTGATTTTCTCTCTTTTTTTTTTCTCCTCCAAAAAGTTTTTTTTTTTTTGGGGGGTAATTTAATTTATGCATGGGGTCCAACCTTAATATATCCCATGACATACCTGAGCAATAACAATAATTGACAAATATTGACCCACCACAACATACACCCTTCACTATACCTTCCACCAACATACTCAGGTTGTCCTTTCTCTACTTTTCTCTTCTTCACCGCCCACTTTCTCTTCCCCGCCACCGCCATCGCTTTCGCTACCACTACCATTTGTTCCTCCGCTACTACAACTCGCTAACGAAGAAGCCTTACTACTCGCCGGCATGGCCAAGAACGTAGGTTTCGCCTCCCCCGCCATGATCACCAATACACTACTCGGAATCGCCGTCATGGTAACATTATTTTCCTTGAGTTTCTCGTCTCCGGCGAACTCGCCGGAATCCTCGCCGGCGTCAAGGTAGCCGGAGAGTTTCCAATACGAACAAGCGAGGATAAGCAATGCAAAGGCGATTAACCCGAGCATGGCGGCTAGGCCTCCGAATAGGTATGGCACCGGGGACTTCCACCCGGCCGCGGGCGGTGTTACATGGTGGTGGTGTTGTAGTGGTGGTGTGTGTTGTTGTGGTCCAAATGAACCTCCTAGATGTACTATTGTAACCCTTGCCCTCATTTTTATGTTTTAGAGAGAGAAAAAAAAATGAGAGTTGGTTGAGAGGTGATTAGTGAGTAAAAGTTGTTATTTATAGAGAAAAATAAAAGAGAGGAAAATAATAAGGGGTGTTTTTCGTGATTAATGGAAGTGGTGTCATCTTTTCATTTTATGTTATGTTATTGTTAGTGTCTCTTATAAAATATGTTTTTTTGGGTTAGGAGACTTGCTTAAGAGTATGTACATATCTAGGGAAAAGCTATTAGATTTTTTTTAGTGGTTAAATTATATGGGATTGTTCGTTGATTGACATATCGATAATGATGTATTGACCTCACGCATCTCTCTTTTGGTAGGTGATAATAAATGTGTGTGGAGTGTGATGAAACTAATGGTAAGTAATAAAATTATATGAGTGGATTACAGAAATAAAAATATTCTAACAATCCAATAAAATGAGTTTTTTTTTTTTTTTTTTTTTTTTTTTGAAAGCAGAATTTTTTTATACTTAATTAATCCAAATTTTAAAATTTTCTTTTAAAGTTTATCAATCCCGTATTTACTCCCTTCTCTATATATTTTTTTCCTTTTAAATTGATAGCTTGGCGAAGCCGTTGAAAACAATTAATAACGTTAGACAAGCCGGACTTCTATTACTATGTACATTTGTCATGTAAGGAAATCTTATGTTTGGAGCTAAGAATGTTGTTCCTCCTTTAAATTTGTTTTTAGGATTTGCATTGAGGGAAGCTAAGGGATGAATCAATACAAAAATTATATATTGTAGGATTTATTGGATTGTAGAAAATTAATTGGTGATAAATGAAAATTACTAAAAATCATAAGGGTTGAGATACGAAGACATTTTCTCCTTAATTACCCTTTAGAGTATGATGTAAAAAAATGAAGTACTATCTCCGTTACAAGTAATGTGCAACGATTTGACATAAAACAGAGAGGAAAAATGTCTAATCGTTGTACATAACCTGTAACGGAAGTAGTAATTTTTTTGTTTTTTTGAAATCTAGACTTCTTTAGTCAATCACTTAATTGTACAGTAGATGCATGGGCTGATGGGGTTACACTTACACATGTATTAGAGATCAACATTATTTCAAATTTTACTATATAGATTCTTCATATCTTAATTATTTAAACATGTTACAAGCTACTCATAATTTAGGATTATTGAATAAATAAAGAAGAAAAGATGTAAAAAATGCCACGTCAAGTTTCACAAAAGAGGAGTTGTGTACTGAATAGTATTTGTTTTATACGCATCATCGAGGCATTCAGAAATGGATAACTGCTTTTTCTTTCTCTTTCTCTTGTTGGTTCCTTGCTCTTTTCACTCTTTATTGTGTACTACGGAATTGTACGTACATTTTACTACTGGCTTTTTTTTTTTTTTTTTTTTTTACCTACCTGTAATTTTATGTCAACATGTATAGCATGGTTTTACATTAACTTTGTAATTCGTACGAGTACTCTTTATTGATTAATTAATGTAGTGTGTTTATATGGGTTTAATGTATTTTTTAGCCTATATTTTATCTCAAATATAAGTCGTATGTGTACTAATAATGGGAGGGTTAAGAGAAAACATAAACACATTCTTGAAGTTGGGAGAGCTTTGAGGTTTCAAGCTAATTTCCCTATTTATTTTTGGGGGGAATGTGTCCTTGCCGCTGCTCACCTAATTAATCGTACACCTACTCCTTTGTTACAAAATAAAACTCCATTTGAAATTTTGTTCAATAAACCACCCTTATTTGATGCTCTTCGTATTTTTGGATGTTTGTGTTTTGCTCATAATCAAAAGACAAATGGAGACAAATTTGCTAGCCGCAGTAGAAAGTGTGTGTTTGTAGGATATCTGTTTGGTAAAAAGGGATGGAGGTTATTTGATTTGACTACAAAAGAATTTTTTGTTTCAAGGGATGTCAAATTTATTGAAGAGGTTTTCCCTTTTGAAAATCCTGAAGCTGTGAACATTTCACATAGTGAGTATGAGGCTCAACAAATTCATGAGGATTTTTCTGACATTAATTTTGAGGAGGAATTAAATGTTGGAGACCAGGTCGTCCAACTAGGCCCAAGTCCAGACCCAGCGACAGGCCCATCATCACCAGCGCCCAATGGGTCTCCAAACCAACAACCCGAGTTGGAGTCTGCTCAGGCCGCTGGAAACCCATCGGTTGCTGGGCCTTCTCATACGCGGCCCAACGCTGCCACTGATCCAACGCAACCCATTGCTCATGCTGACAACACAACGCATGTTGGGCCTATTGGGCAGCCCGTTTCATCATCTCCAAATCAGCCCACTTCACTTGGGTTAGATAATTTAAGCGACTCCAATGATAATCAAATAGGTCGTGGATTTCGACAAAAAATTCCCAATGTTCGTCATCGTGACTATGTGACTCACTCAGTTTTTGCTAAAAGTCTGTCTCCGTCCAGTCCGTCTTCAATCCCTCCTTCAGGTACGCCTTACCCTTTAGCACACTATATAAATTGTGACATGTTTTATGTGAATTATCGCAAATTTCTTGCAGCTGTTGTTTTGGGAAAGGATCCAAAATCCTTTAAAGAAGCGATGAAATCCGAAGGTTGGCGACGTTCTATGAAAGAAGAAATAAGGGCATTGGAAGATAATGGGACTTGGACATTGGAGCATCTTCCTCCCGGCAAGAAAGCTCTAGGTTGACAATGGGTGTATAAGACAAAATTTTTGTCTAATGGTGATATTGAACGTCTCAAATCTCGTTTGGTTGTTTTTGGTAATCATCAACGAGAAGGCATTGATTATGGTGAGACCTTTGCTCCGGTTGCAAAAATGACTACTATTCGTGCTTTTCTTGCTATAGCAGTTTCAAAAAACTGGGAGATTCAGCAAATGGATGTTCATAATGCTTTCCTACGTACATGGTGATCTAGAAGAGGAAGTGTACATGAAATAACCCCCAGGTTTTGAGAGCTCGGATTCGAGTTTGGTGTGTCGTTTGAGAAAGTCTTTGTATGGGTTGAAACAAGCTCCGAGATGTTGGTTTGAAAAACTCACTACGGCTCTAAAAGGGTACGGTTTTATTCAGTCTTACTCTGATTATTCTCTTTTCACATACACTAAAGGCAAAGTTTAGATTAATGTCTTAGTTTATGTTGATGATCTTATTATTTCTGGGAATGATTCCGCTGCATTAAATGTGTTCAAAGCTTATCTTGGTGATTGTTTCAAGATGAAGGATCTTGGTCCTTTGGAATATTTTTTGGGCATTGAAGTTGCTCGTAGTAAATCAGGTTTGTTTTTGTGTCAACGAAAATACACCTTGGATATTGTTTCTGAAGCAGGGCTATTAGGTGCGAAACCAAGTGGTTTCCCGATGCAGAACCACAGGCTAAGTCTTGCTAGTGGTGAGTTACTTGAGAATCCCGAGTCTTATCGTAGACTGGTAGGGCGGTTTATTTATCTCTCGGTGACTAGACCGGATTTGGCATATTCGGTTCATATTCTTTCACAATTTATGCACAAGCCACGGATTGAGCATTGGGAAGCAGCTCTCAGGGTGGTTCGTTATTTAAAAGGTACCCCAGGACAGGGTATTTTGTTGAGTGTAGATAGTGACCTGACTTTGCAGGGATGGTGTGATTCTGTTTGGGCGGCGTGTCCTCTTACCCGTCGTTCGTTGACAGGTTGGCTTGTGTTCCTTGGTAAATCACCTATTTCTTGGAAGACCAAGAAACGGCCCACAGTTGCCACATCCTCTTCGGAGGCTGAGTATCGTTGCATGTCTTCAACCACACATGAGTTGAAATGGTTGAAGGCCTTGCTTTTGAGTTTGGGTGTTGAACACCCTAAGGCGATCAAGTTGTTTTGTGATAATCAATCTGCTTTATATATAGCTCGAAATCCAGTTTTTCATGAACGTACGAAGCACATTGAGATTGATTGTCACATTGTTCGTGATGCCATTACAGAGGGCTTAATTGATCCTTCCTATGTTTCCACTAAGGAGCAACTTGCAGACATTTTCACTAAGGCGCTTGGGAAGTCTCAGTTTGATCATCTTCTTTCCAAGTTGGACATTTACAATCCCCCATGCTCCAACTTGAGAGGGGGTATTGAGGATATTATATATTAGGAAATTATATGATAATATTTAGTTGCTATATCTTGTGCCTAGAATATAATCTTTTGAGATCTTTGTGATATTTCCTAATTTTATCAGATTAGGGAAACCTTGTATTATATATTGGCTATGGTCGTATCAATGGAAATCAAGCAATTGAGTTTGTTCAATTTAATATATTCTCTCTAACTTAGCAACTAACTTAGTTTGAATATTAGAAGATTCACTTCAATATCTCAGAGACTCTCGTAATTTAATTTGTAAGCTCCACAGGTGACCCCGACAAGGCCCTAACTACCTAAAATTGACAACAAGAGGCAATATAATTGTTGATCCAAAAATGCTCAACAAAATTGAACAGCAAATATATTTATTATTCCTTACTTGTTATTGTAATATTTACTAAGTAGGACATCCGCCCATATAAAAGATGATATGATACATACCCTTCATTTCTTTGCACAATATAAATTAATTGTAGGAGTACTAATGTACCACGGAGTATACAATAATAATAATTCTTTATAAAAGATGAAATTAGCTCAACATCATGATGCTACGTCGTACTAGTTACTATTATATGGCTTACATTATTAATGTGTTGCGTTTTTCGGATAAAATTATAAATTTCTTTAGTAGTTGGTGGATAATTGCCTTTGTTTATATGTATAATAAAATGTGATTAATGAATGTTATCTCAGTCTCAACTAATAAAGTAAAGGAATGGTTCACCTTTAGTATCCTTTAGTATTTTTTTTTTCCTTTGGATAATCTTCTCTTTTTGAAATCTATTTTTCAATAAGGTATAGTACTTGCAGAATTGGTTCAGGTGATTCCAACAACCAATTAGGAACATAGTGGGTGACGGTATCGAGCCTAACACTTATTATTCTCAACTTCTTGAATAGCATATATATAATATTATATATATGCTCTTTTGTCCAAATAGATTACTACCTCCGGTTCAAATTACTCGCAACTTTGGGGTATTATTTGTGAGTTATAAAATATTCCAAAGTTGCGAGTAATTTGGACCGGAGGTTCGGAGGTAGTATTAAAGTTGGTACTCACTCATAACCGAGGAAGGATATAATATAGTATATTAGTATGACACGACTCAACATATTTTAGGTTCAATAAAAGACTGTCATCATATTTAGAAATTTAAGATGCTTTGATCACGAGTGAGCTAGTGCGAGTTCTAGCTTACAAATTCATGGGATGGAATACTTTTAGAGGGATAAGAAATTCGTTTTATAACATGATTTGGTCCTTTTTTGAATCAATAGTAGCATTTAACTTTCTTCATTTTAGGTTTGAATTGAATGGATGAATTGAATTCCACAATTCATTCTAATGTTTTTGTAACAAGCTGCCGAACCTTTTATATGATAAAAAAATTACAAGCTTTATGTATTATAAATATAAAATATTATTAGAAGTTTATATTTACTTTATTGATAGCGGACGTAGCAAAATAAGAGCATGCTAGCTAATCGGAAAGTTGACAATTAATTAATTTCATGTATCCAAGAAGTCAACCAATTCATGAATCTCTATAATTCAGTTGATAACCATGACGAAAGGTAGGATAAATACAAGGTAAAGCTAGTTGAATACGTATAGTATTACAATTCAATTTTGGACCAAATGTTGGGGTTTATTTTTTTTTTTTTCCAAAAAATAAAAAATAAAAGAATTTTATTATTGTGGTAGGAAGAAAAAAAATTAAGGGTATCACCAAAATTTTCACAAACAACATAAATTATATTAATTCGGGGATATGAAGTAAATATTAAATACGTATGTGAGTCAAAATTAATATTTTTTGTCGTATTTGTAAACTAAATAAAAAATATAAAGAGAAAATGGGAAGAGGCCGGGACACATGACACTTGTGGTTATACTTCACTAACTCACCAATTATAGATCGATATGGTTATATGAGAAACTTAAAACAAACACACATTTAATACTTAGTTGTATATACTTAACATACACTCAAATTTAAAGAGTAATGATATAAATGAGATTTGATCTTAGTTTAAGATATTTGTATGAGTTAATAATAAAAGACAAAAGCTAACAAACGCCTCCGGGACATTGGATAAGATGACTAATTAAAAGTAGAAATATTGAGAAAATAAGTATTATTTACACCAATTGACGCTTGATTTTGGCATGAATTTCCAAACTACTAATACCTTCTTTAGAAATTATTATAATTGGTGCTCTAATTCCTCGAGGACGCTTGTTAGCAAGATCCAACCCATGATATTTTTATTAATGATATATGATAAAAATCCACTAATCCCAGTAATTATAGCACTCATTATGTATTCGTTTGATTGATTGCATGGAAGTAAAGTATCTTTAGTTTGTAGATTAATGGGGTGTGAATCTTTGATAATTAAAGGAGTAATTAGGTAGTACGTCACTTATTAGATTTGGTGTTTTTCTAATAGTCTAATCACTAGTGCTTACGTGAACTTTGGGTTTAACATGCATGTTACATGTTGTTCATTAATTAGTGAATATGGAATGAATAATAAAACAATTTTTAATTATACTATATAAATTATTATATAATGCTCTTGCCAAATCTTCAAATAATTGCCATAGGGTGTAGAAAAGAATAATAAATTAAAAATTATGAAGTGTACAACTTTGATTGCAGTAAAAAAAATTTTTTTCGAACAGTAAATATCATTTTCACTAAACCAATTCAAAGGCAATTACAAATTTCCCAATCCACATAAGACACCCAATAAGACTATATTTTTCATCACGTATAAAGCACAAAACAAGGTCAAAGGAAAGTGTGTGAAACTGTGAATAGTGCTAAAGTCAAAACGTGTCAACTAAATAAAAACGGAGCTATTACATACACAATCAAATTACCTACAATATTTATGTACTCGTACCAAATAGGTAAGAAATTTATAAAATATGGAATAAAGTGTTTTTTATTAAATATGAATTTATGGTGGTAGGTAGGTAATGAGTCCTAAATCTCCTAATACTTCTAATGACTTGCTCAATCTCAACATACATGTGTACGGACTTGGAAGAAAAATTAAAATTTCCAAATCCGACCTTCTTTTTCAAAGGGCGGCTTAAATTAGATAGATGATAGGGCTCAAATAATTGATTCATCTTAAATAGTTAAATGAAAATCTTTTTATACAAGCATTAATATTGGACTTATTTTCTTAATTAAGAACTTATTATTATTATAAAATTCTTGTAAATATATTAAACTTAATAATTAATTGATGTTTTTTTTTTGGACGAAAATAATTAATTGATGTTGAACCTCATTAAATTTCAAATAATTTACATAACATTATCAAATACAATAATGGATATATAAGCATCATCATAATTCATCATGATGACATACTATGAATATAATGAAAGGTACAAAAGTACTTAATCATGTGTCGAGACTACTAAAAAATGATTATGCTATGTATAATCATATAAAAACAATCGCAAGTACTAAATGCAGTACAAAATAACCTAAATGCGGAAATTAATTAATGATAAGAAAATAATAAAAGACTGAAATATCCTTTTCCAAAATGAAAAAATTGATTTGTCATTTCACCAGACTTTTATTTTTTACATTTTCCCTTTTGTGATTCATTTCATTCGCTATTTTTTTCCATTTCATTCACCATTTCAGTCGCCATTTTTTTTTGCTATTCATTTCATTTCATCATTTCCCTCAAAAAATTTCAATCTAAGCCATAGAGACGAAGAAGTCGTTCACAGTCGGCTATGATTTCCAAGGGGTACTATTTTACCCCGACTATGATTTCCAAGGGGTACTAAAGACCCCCGGAAATCATAGCCGGGGGGTGCTGGAGACCCCGGAAATCGTAGTCGGGGGGTGCTGGAGACCCCCGGAAATGGTAGCCGGGGGGTATTGTTGACCCCCGGAAATCATAGCCGGGGGTACTGTTGAGCCCCGACAACACAACCGGCACCGTGATACATGCCCATGAATAAAAAGTTCCGTTTAAGATGGAAATTTTATTTTGTTTGATTGTTCATCTATAACTTAGATTTTGCGAAGAAAAAAAAATTACAGCACATAATTTTCATATCTCAAAAAAATCGTCGTAATGCACTTTATTATTATCCATGAATTTGTAACGCATTGAATATTTAATAGGATAAAAGGTTGAATACGTTAGAATATGGTTGTAAATTAAACGGTAGGGATGATTATATAGTTAGGAGTGTTAAGGATTTAATTTTAATCCTTAAAAAAAGTGTAAGGGGTTAAATTAAAACAAGGGCAAATATGGAATATAATTTTTTTTGTTAAAAATAATTTATTCTGCATTTAGGTAAAATTATGCCTGCATTTAGTACTCCCCAAATCAATTTATTTATTTTGTTTCTTTCTTCAGGAATTTATTCTTCTTTTGAATATAGAATAAAATAAAATAAAATCAAAAAAGGATTATAATAATAATAAAAAGTATTTACAATACCTGAGAATCCTCTAAGATTCACATAATTAAATTCTTATACCTATTTCAAATAAAGAGACATATATAAGTGGATAGGTAGGAAAAGCTTGACCCACCAATCAAATTTCAAGGTCTATTAAGTACAATACTAACTTAACTAAATGTTTACAATATAAAAAACCTCTCCTCTTACCTCCTTCCCTTCTCCAAAACCCTAGCCTCCATTGTTGAATTTTAAAGGGGCTTTCATCGGTTTTAACCGGTGGAAAGTTTTTTTAGGTTTTATAATAATACTTCCTCCTTTTGGGAGGAACTTTTCACCCTCGAAAGAAAGGGTTTCCGATCTCCTTCGAAAGACAAGGGTTTTTCGACCTCCTTCGAAAGACAAGGTTTATCTCCTCCTTTCGGGGGAGAAATTTCTTACTTTTGAATCCATGATATTAGATCTAATGGATTGTCGTGAAATTATTTCTTTGGTGAAAAAGTTATCAAGTTTTCGAATGCATACAAATAAAACAAAAGAAAAAC